TTTGACATACAAACTATACGCCAAAGTGAATCTCGCGCAGAGCCCTCGTTTACCAGGTACATCCCCGCTGATTAGAAACTTAAGTCAAGCGTTTTACAACATTGGTGATGTGAGTTTTATATTTAAGGATGTATCTTGTAATCTTGTCATCAGGGAGAAACCGTGCGCAGTTTGAGGCAATGCAAATGTCTAACCCAATAACACAACAAAATGACTATGGCCAGCGTTTTAACGCCGACCACTCGACGCCAATCGACCACTGGAAGCCACTAGACCACTCGACGCCATTCGACCACTCGGAGTTGAACAATACGGTGTTTAGGCTACCACCCCTCTTACTGTTCTAATAGAAAATCATGCGTGGCAATTTACTCCTTAATGTTGGCGCGAAATTTCAGCGCTAATCGGTATAATTTCACGTGTGAAATTACAAAATTGCCATGATAACGTTTGGCGTGAAATTTCTCGGTTCAATAAACAAGTCCAAAACCCACGATTGCAAACGTTATTTAACACACATGATATTAAAGGTAATAAAATTGTATACTCTTGAAATTAAGAAATAATTTCACTTGCGTTTTGCCAAAATTCTAACAAGAATGTAGACCAAATGCGCGAGAAATTATTTCCTAGTTTCACTCATCACCAATTGATTTTCCAGATTACGTGCCTGTTTCTGAACTTGAATTTCAGGCCAAGTATTCATTACAGGCATGTCAATTCACCTTTTATCTCACTGTCTCATACAGGAGATGCAGTCGACGGGAAAGATGATGACGACGACGCTGAGGACAGTGACAACGACGATGAAGATGACAATTATGTCACTGACGGTCCTAACAACAACAACAACAACAACAGCGACAGCAACGATGAAACTAAAGAGAAACACGATGACGATGACGATGGAGGCTTCTTTGGGCGGTTCTTTGAAACTCTTGTGGATAAGCTTGCTGTGTTTAAGACTCGAGCTGGTCGAGCAGGTCTGGTACACAATTTTCTTCGCGGTCTGCAAGTAATGACGTCAGCACCATTGTTCTCAGCAACCCTCGAAACCTGAATACGAGGAAGAGGAGCGCAAGCTCGGCTTGTTTCGCTTGCAAGAGACTGTATCAAGTGACGTTGTTATGGGCGGTATTCACGAACTTCTTCTAGGCCCCCCCAACCACCCCCTGAGGTTACTTAATAGTGCCGATGAGCGCTGATGTGGAATGCTGCTCGAATATTAATCTTCTCAATGTATATCACAGGCAAAGTTGATGAGGAAGTACAAACCGCTGACGAGTCTGCGCTCACATCTCGTCGCATCTACTTGGTTGACAATGGGCTTGTGTTCAATTCCCCGTACCCTCCCCTGTTGAGGCCTGAGAGGGATGTGGATGTGTTTCTCTCCTTTGACTTCAGTGTGAGGAAAAGAGATGTTGAATTTTGCTTCGAGGTAAAGATGTATTTCAAAACGAGGTCGACCCACTGAAACGCCGTTTACTTCGGTGATTCTGTTTGTGTTGTTCAGTAAAATTAAGCCATAATATTTTTGTGTAACGAGCATTAATCGTATTGGTTGGCTGGATGTTTTGTGACCTCAGTTTTGCGACATCTATGCTTTAATTTCAGTGTTAGAAGAAAACCAAAACCAGCCACAAAAGTATGTTAGGGCTTCAATCCTGGACGGGATGGAATGCTAATTGTTGCATTATTTGTTAAGTTTTGTTACTTTCCGAAGGTTTATAATAATTAGGACAAGATTATTCTTCTATCATCAACGACCAAAATAAAGTTCTTGACCTTGTCCCGGGCATTGGCAGACATTTTTTCAAAAAGATGAGTAATGCACGACCAATGCCCGGAGGGATGGGGGAGCGGGTGGGTGGGGATGAGCGTACTTTGAATTGACGGGGCCATAAGCAGGGCTTCTCCACTGTTTTAGATTCTTGTTAGTTTGGCATTCTTCGCATCCGTTACTTGGGTTGTCACGTAACGATTATCCTTACATAAGGAGAGCGTTACTTAACGACCCCAATGGTTGCCTAGAAGCCATAATACCTGTTACCTGTTACCTAGCTTCTTTGTGCCTCGTGGCACATAAGGCCTCTAGAGGGCCATAATATGAAATATATATATATTTTTGTGTATCATATCAGGAACTCCTATTAGCAGAACAATGGGCGATAAAGAACAAATTAAAATTTCCTCCAATTGAAGCAGAATTGCAGTACCAAAGGCATGGAATGAAAGAATTTTACGTGTTTCAAGATCCACAAGATCCAACTTGTCCAATCGTTATTCATTTTGTGCTGGCAAATAGAACTTTCAAGGAACAACTCAAACCAGGTATCGCACCAACTTGATTCTTTGTCGTTATTGTTGTTGTGTCTATATAAAGCTGGATTTATGAAAACTTTGTTTATGCGAAAAGTGTGTTTCTTTGTACCAAATGAGCTACACACTTGATTTGAAGACTCCCAAGGGCCTAAAAATCACTACAAGCGATCAAAAACAGTAGAAGAGTACAAAAAGGAGGACAAAAGACTGATATTCCTTCGAACTTTTATATCGTCTCTAACGCCATCAAAATGCTTGACCAAGGTGAAATTTTCATTAACATAAATCCCGTCATATCAACATAAAGGCAACGTAACCAGTTCCAGCTGCTCGGTTATTCGGAGACCTGCACAAATAACTGGGTTAGTAGGAAAAATGGTTAGTGGAAACAAAGACCGCAACTTTCTTTTTTCCATTCGCCGTTTTTTCGTTTTCCAGCCCGACCGCCTCGAACAGGGTAAGTGCAGGGAGTCCAAGTAGTTTAAGGCGCTGGTTTTACTAGGTTCCAGCTCTCCTCGCTTCCACTCGGATGGATTCTCGGTTGTTCTGAGTTACTGCACGCTTTGTACATGTTGCAGTTTATTTTCACTGCTCAGTTTTTTTTTATTTCTACTATAAGTAGTCCATTTTCTTCAAATAGTTATTTTTTTTCTCAGTTTATCTCTAGTTAATGGTAATTATTGACTGGGGATAAACTGAAAATAAAGTTAACTACGCCGACGAAAGCGAACCACATATATTGAAATAAATAATAAAAAATAAGTAACATTTATCTAAACGATATAACACGGCAACAGGGCTACCTCTTGCGAGTTGAAATTTTCAACCATGGTATGTTTACTTGTAATATCTGGCGCGAAAACAGACTTTATTTACTTGTCAGAAGGACAGTTTTATTTGAAATATTTTAATAACTAACTCTATTCAATCCTAACAGGCATACTTCGAGAAATAACCGAAGAAAAGAACTATGCAGACTTTTCACTGTTCGAGGATCGCCACAACTG